TCCTTTTTTAAGAGCACTGGGAGGTACTTCTTGGTCTGGCTTCCAGGTTCTGTGACTGGGGGCTCTACTTTTTTACCAAAAAAGTTCCAATGTCATGGATTCGAGAAAGCATGCAGAAGAGAATCATAGAATAATGTTCAATAAAACCTTACCTGGTCATGTACTTCATTGATTTCGTAGTACAACGACGGCAGTACGATAAGACAAGCACCGATTGCTATTAAAGAGCAAGCAGTGGCCACCCCGACGATCACCTTTTCCTGAAGCATGTTTTGAGATTGTGGTCGTCGAGCCGTCACTGTCGTCGTCTACACGTTGCCCTTTATACCCTCTCACCGGGTACCGCCCACTGGTTGGGGAATTCCCGCCCGCCAGCCTGCCTCAGCCACACCTCATCCACGTCAGAGCGAACTCCCGTGCACTCGCGTGGCGATCAAAAAAGCGAATGTTAGCCCCATGCACTTAGACATAGATGAACCATTTAGATTACAGTATACTGCAAAGGGTGGCACGATCATCGCCATTTAGTTTTCTAGGGCAGATTTCTGCAGATTTCCGTCATTGCAATAATTTTATCTGCTACTAGAAAATTTGGGGAATGTTCTTTTTTGTCGAGGAATCAAGCGTTCCTAAATCTTACAGGAGCAGCGTTGTCGTTTCCGAATTTTCTTTTTGCAAAAGGCGTGGAAAGCAGAGACTTCCAGAAAAATGCATTCGGTGAGCCGCTTATGCGATTGGATCTTGAGCGAAGTGCGTTCTTCTACTACTACTGCTTCTGGGTAAATTATGATGTAGAGACAGTGGGGGATTATAGTGTGGGACGATGACTCTAGTGGGACTTAGGTCGTAACGTCGTCATTAGGGTCCTTTTGATAATTTTTTTCCTACTTTTCAGTCATATCAGTGACACGGGGGGATGGTGGTGTAGCGGCAGGTGGCGCGCTAGTACACAAGCATGGTCACGGGTTTGAATCTTAGTTCGCAATCCGCCCAGGAAATGACACTAAACTTGCCTGGTCGGATAGAGGCACTGACTTGTATATTGGCTGGCTATTGCGAATCATTGTATAGGTCACACACTCATCCAAACCACCTCTACAATTTGGAGTGAAATCGAATGTGAGGAGGACCCGCATCATTCTTATTTATCTATGTCGCGCCATGTCTCCGTCTTCCTCTTGAACTTGCAGATATGACTGAAAACACGTCGATGGATTAGAGGGGGAGGCGACTTTTGAGTTTCTTCACTAGCTGAGAGGGTGAAGCTCGTTCTACCATTAGTAAGATTTGAAGTAGTCTTTTACATAAACTCATGAGGGAATAAATAAATAAACAAGGTCGAAAAACATAATTTGCTTAAGGTTATTCGATAAACTTTCATAGCTCACAGAGCTAAATATTATTGGCAATCTGAGGGAATAGTAGCCAGTCGCCCGAATGATCTTGAACTTTTGTCAAATACACAGCTTTCCCCTTAGCTTTTTAAACCTCGCCAGAAGCCGATAACTAGCTAAACATTGAAGCAACCAGTATGGTGGGTCTACTCCTCTCTAACTAAGTTTTTGCTCTTGGGCCTAATCAGCTAGCAAGCGTCACAGCTTGATCACGTCTAGCTCGACAAGATCTGATCAGGGAAACATTTTGAGGAGTGCGATCTGGAACTGGGAGGACATTTCTGAATGAGATGTGTTCTGGCGGATTTTCAAAAAAAGCCACGTAACGGACCTTTCCTTGGAGAAAATGAAAGGCAAACACAGTTACGAGACATTTGCTTGTTCTAGGAACAAAATCATTGCAAAGAAAAAACTCCTCGGCATTGATGAATCGACTTTTTCGGGAGACCCTCGCACTCGAATTCCGATTCTGAATCCTTAGCGGTTGAATAGGAATGCTACCCGGACACTGTTTTGTGGGGGACCACTTAGTGCCAGGGGTAGTCATCGTCATCAAGCGTCTTTTTACCTTTAAAGAAGTTCCATGCAATTCAACGAGTAAGAAGAGATAGACGGCTTCTTTGACCAAGGCGAGAATCTGACCGAGATTTGACCCTTTGATGAAATGTGTATTAGTGGCACCACTTGACCCTGTTTCACGAGCGTTTTGTGCGGAAGTTACCATCAGCTTCATTCCAACAGATGACTGGTATTGTTATTCGAAGAGTCTAGAGTTAGGGCAAGATGTTTGAAACAGTGGGGAATGTTAGCTAACAAGCGATTTCCGGAGTGCAAGGTATACGTATTGATCAGTTGTTTGCATCATCGGGTGTTTGCAGAATGTAGTTACAACTATGCAAAAAAATGTTCTAGAATCCCTATTGTTAGCAATTCTTGGTAGGGTTTTGCAGAAAGGAATTTCGTCAAGGACAAAAACATTGGCAACAACTGTTCACAATCAAATTCCCTTCCGGGAGCACCTACGCCGACCGCTGTACGTAGAAGTACATACAAGCATTTTGCCAGGTGTTCATTACTTGTAGGTTGGCCTTTTTTTCGGCTTTAAGAAGACCAATTTTACTCTGGTCTCTCATAATGCTTGGTGAAAATCGAATATGGTCGAAAAAGCTGTTGCGATTAGCTCCATAAATACCTCTGTCAGCAAGGTAGCTAGTTTTAGGAACATTGGCGGTTAAATTATGTTCAATCGTGGTCTCGGCGGAAAGCAAAAAAGCCTTGAATGAATGAACTGTCCCAATGCTTGACCGGCTCCACAGACGCTACGAAAGTTTCCAGGGCTAATTGTAGAAAAAACTCCTATTCGCTTCTCACCTCGACCTTTTCCAAGCAATAAGCAGCTGAGGATAGAGGGCTTCAGAAGTGTGTCACTTGGGAAGCGTCAATATGCTCCCTGCTTCCATTATATCTTGAAGGCTCATCAATTGATTAGGCGGTGGACTATTTACTTGATCAGGTCTCAATCTGGCTACTTGAACATTTATTCTACCTGTTCACCTGCATGGGGATGTGATACGGCGACAAGCTCCGCCCTATCAACCACACAAACTCTGGAGATTGAATCCCGGATCGACATCCACCTAGGCCAACCAAGCCTTTCATGCCTCGTGGTTTGATTAACTGTTTCCAGACTCGTTTGGGAGAATAAAATCACTAACTCATGCATCGGCTTACCGCCACAACTCAGTATAGGCCAAATACGCATTCATTACGCCACTATGATTCTGAATGGAAGTCGAGTGCGGGGGCGCATCCCGAGGACGGAGCTACTTAATGCCAAAAACTTTATCTTTTATCCGTAACAGCTATTGTCAAGGTTATTGTCTTACAATTAGTCTTCAGTCGAGGCTATTGTTTGTGAAGTTACTCTCCACGAATTTTCAGTAGGCCGAAATCGAGATTCCCCTAGAAGAGAGCTGTAATCCTGGGGTCCTCATTATATTTCCTTGAAACCCAAGTTCCGAACTAAAAAGAAGGGAAAAATTTTTTTGGGAACAACACGTTTCCTGCACACAAAACTTTCTCTGCTATCTGTTGAGCATCTGCTTTCCACTTTGAGGTAGCCTATTTTGTGGGTTCTCTACTTTCAGGTTACTATATAAATGAGTGAAATACATAATGTGAACTGTTGGCAATTCGATGTCTCAAAAAATACAACTGGTAAAGTA